TGATGAGTGGTGTATGATGAGTGGTGTATGATGAGTGGTGTATGATGAGTGGTGTATGATGAGTGGTGTATGAACAGTGGTGTATGATGAGTGGTGTATGATGAGTGATGTAAATGTTAGTAACACGGAAGTTCCTTCTAAACTTCCTTTGATAATATGATTATATATATTTCCGCCTGTGTATATGATACAACTCATGGAGACCTGTCAGCTTCGCTTGCCTGCTTGACGCCATTGGTGGTGCTTGCGCTTTTTGGCTTGTTGGCGATGCTCAAGGCTGTCTGCAAGGCAACAAACAGTTGGATTGTTCTGTTGGATCCAACAAAAAAGTCAAGTTGCATCCTCTCCCATCAAGCATCCATCAAACTTTCTTCAGATAAACATTGTACGTAGCACCACAAACACAAACAAGCATGATCCTACATGATCGTACGTCGTACCTTGTCCTAACCATCTAACATCATACGCGCACACACACACAAGTATCAAACTTCAACGAACAAATCTTTGTCTGAAATTCAGTAGGGCGAGTTGCTACACTGGTTGGCTTGGTCCGGGCCGCCATCAGACCTGAAATTGCCAAAGGACTTCCATGGTCTTCCGATGCCTTTCTTTTCAAAGCAACACAGCATGTCGCGGTCCCGCTACCTGCTCAAGCTTTTTAGTTAGTGAAGCATAGCCACTGGTCTCAGTCTTCAACTTGCCGCCCGCTTGACCATCAAACTGGTCAAATGCAGATCGGGGTTGAATGTTTGGGCCCTGACTCCCACCCTCAAAGACCTTGCTTGGAGCTTTGCTTCCTGGCCGCGATCGCGAGTTTCCTCGCTTGCAGATTCCGTTGTCCAAGATATAGCATCCTAAGAATACAAATACAGAACATAACTGAGTGAAGTTACTGAATAGATCAAGAGGACCATCTGTACGACTGTTGAAACGCTCAGAACCCCCCCGATGCAATCGATTGTGATAACACGACTCGTGCAGACTTGACTTCGGCTCCTATAAAAGACCTCGTGTGCACCTCAGCTGGAACATGCTTGATGCATCTTGATGCGAGGCTGACAGTGTCGGATTGTGTGGAATCTCGTGACGTAATTGGTGATTTTTTGGATCTTATCGGGACAGGACATGAAGAATTGCGTCGAAGTCCTAAGAGCTTCGTTGACACTTCAAAAGCTACGGCTTTGCTATTGTTCCTTGAGAGGATTGCTAGCGTGTCTGAGCTCTGTCCTCCTTGGTGACCCTGCCCGGCTGGATGTCTCAACCCCTGTGTAGCCTGGTGATCCACCGGAGGCATGGCAGGACTGTGAAGTTCACAAAAAAAGTCTCCGAATCAACTGATCTGCTCAAGCAAATCATAACATGATTTGCTAGTAGTAAGGCAAGGAGTCCCTAGTAGCTTTTTGTTATTGTTCTTAGTAGCAAGGCCAGGAGTCCCTAGTAGCTTCTTGTTCCTAGTAGTAAGGCCAGGAGTCCCTAGCAGCTTCTTGTTCCTAGTAGGAAGGCCAGGAGCCCCTAGTAGCTTTGTGAGTTCTGAATGTGCAGGTATAATCATTGTTATCGTTTATTTTACTCTTATCGTTTTCTGGGGTAGGAATGCATTACAGTAGTAGTGTTAAGGTGCATGCCAATACTAAACCGCTGAGCACGGGGTTATTACAACAACCCATATGGATTTCAACTTTGCCAGTGGCCTTTCAGCTTTGCAGCTTAGATACTTAGTCCAGTTCTCAGTAGATGTCAGTGGTCCTTACATTCAAACTAATCAGAAGGCAATGGCCTCTGAAAAGCATGCTGTGATGACAGCTGCCAACGAAGTAACAAAGTTACTGCAGGGTTGTTGAATTCCTACAAACATCCAAGGAATGCGTGATGACACCTCACAACAAACATTCTAGAAAGTGATCCTCAGGGACATGTCTCAAAATAAGACTCAGCACCTGTAATTACCCCCAAAGAGCACATAATCACTGACAATTAAGTTTAAAGCTCGCCTAAACCATTATATTATATCTTCAATATTGTTCTCAAGTTGTTCTCAGCTTGTTAAACAAGCCGATCGAATGGTCCGTTCCCCTGAGATGAGCTCAGTGAAGCGGGAGGGTCAAACGTTCCCCCGATGATATGGAATATCTTGGCAACTACACTACTTTTGATGGGAGGCACCCTAAAGAACGGGAAGGAGCAATCGGAAGCTTCATTTTTGTAAGGTTTAAGGGTCACATGGAAAACTGTTTTCTGATCTTTTTTTCTCTCTTATGCAATGTCGCTGCGGTAGCAGGTGAAGTACAGAGATGCCTCCCATGTGGAAGTCGGAAGGTGATTATATAGGTCATGTGTGTTGAACAAAAGGACTCTTCGGGTTTAGAGGTTTTCAGAGGTTTTTCTTTGGTATGAGTTCAAACCACGGAAACAATGCCATTTGTCTGGTTCAGAATTTGTACCGATAATTATGGCCACCATCCGCAAACAAGGAACAACAGGGTTCGTTGAGTATTTTGGAGCCATTTTTAACCAAAATGGACTTGTAGGACTTGAATGGCTTTGTACCTGGTCACAAAGTGGATCCAAGCGATCCGTTGCTTGAGGTTTAGCACCGTATTCTCCACACAAGCACATCAATTCACAATGTAAGAGATCATGGTGCTGCAGCGAGGCGGTACCTTCTGGCACGCTTTCCAGGAATTGCCCAAGGACCGCCAAAATCTGCCGGACAGAGCCCTCCTGAGGAACATTGGCAAGGAACTTCTCAACTCAAGGAAAACATTTCAACTTTGGCTGCTGTGAGTCGTACTGTACATTAATTTCTAAGAGATAAATGAAACTGAGGCACAACAATTCCAAAATGACCAAACAGTGTCGTACCATGTTTTACCTCTATCTTGCGTGGTCTGATTGGACTGGAGTTGCTGAGCTCTCCTTCCCGGTCACATAGACGGTATGATTGGGTTCCCTGCGCGATGGCTCATTCTAGGTGGACAACGCTGACTTCTTGCCGAACGTTCTTGCGATGATTGTGTATTATATATTTGCAAAATATAGATTATACACGGCTACAGGAAGCTCCAATCCTTAAATATTCCGTCTCAAGAAAAGTTCAAATCGAATGTATAGTCATAGGCAATGACACACTGCGCAGGACTGCGCAACATTGCGTAACTACGTAGTGCTGCAGTGCTTGTTGCCTGCTCTTGGCAAGAACCAACGGACATGTTCATACATTGCTTGGGACCTTTTCACTGCCCAATAGAATTCGTGCGACTTGAACGAAGGGCCAGCACATCACAAAAGGTTTTTACCGTTTTATATCACCAGCTATAGAAGCTATAGAAACTCTTCACTTCCTCGTCAATAGCATGGACCCTTGAGGCAAGAAGAACCCAGAGCCGCACCCATTTGGGACCCTCGACTTCAACCATACCAATGAATCCATTTGAGATGACTCCAATACACAAGCGCGCCTGAACTCCACATTTGTTTGCGAAGACTTTTGCGTCCAAATAGCTTTCTTCTGGCAACACGCTTCGAGCAGTGGCAGTGGGCAAGATGTGCTAGAACAAGTACTAGTGCTTGATCCTGAGTTGTTTGCCATGGCAAATAGGTTGAAACTTGACACGTGACGTCAAGAAAATGGAACAAGGCATTCGAGCAATGCAAGCTTGATGAGCAAACGCCAGCTATTCGAGTTCTATCCCTTGGGTGATTGTGGCTTTGCCCTGTTTGAGGAAGAAACGCGTCCGTAATCGCTGGTTCGCTTCCTCTGCAGGAAATGTCTGGAAATCTCCATGTTCATTCCCAAAGACCTGATCGCTCAGCGTCCGCTTGGAGCGGCACAAAGAGAGGGACGAGAGCTTCTTCTTGTTACTAGTAGCGATGCCCTTGCTACTAGTAGACAAAACAAATTAAAGAAGTATAAATACACAGTCCTTTATATACTCATACAAGTAACGACTCTACAGAAAAATTTGGGCCTGCTTCATCTTCTCAACAAAATCCTGGCCACGTTCAAAGGCAATCAATTCCTTGTGCAAAAGTATAAAGCACAGGCCACAAGTCAGTTTGAAACGAAATGAAGTGTGGGCAATTCTCTGATCATTGATATGACTCAAACAAAACTAACCAAGTATGAACATGAAGTCATCCTCGACGGTGCCATCACGCATAATCCGCTGATGCGTCACCGACTTGTCCTGCAAAAAGCATGGTAGTTGCATCTGGCAAAAACTGAACTTGAGACTTGAGACTCCTCACAATTTAACAAATGAAGCATAATGGAATTCATCAAGTTTTGCAGCGCTCATCTGCTTGGCTCCTCTTGAGGCCTGCCTGAATTGCCTTGCGAGAGGATACGCAAAGCCATTCAGAAGTTCAGAAAGGATGACACTTCAAGCTTCAAGATTTGTATCAATTTGCTTCTAGACACATTGTGCCTAGACGAAGACAAGATATCTCTCGAGTCCGAGCCTAGACATTGTACGCAGGATAGGCCATAAGAGTAGCTACGACCTAGTTGCCAAAGGCTACGTTCCAACTCCCAAGGGGCAAAAAGGTTCGTTATGCAATTATCGTCTCAAGCCTATTTAAACCCCATCCCGCGTATGACGTAATCGTAGAGACAGCAGGACACTGTTTGACTTCCCCGCTTTGCGCCTCTCTGGGGCTTGTCTGTGGGGCTGCCGCCGATGGTCCGCATCTGGGTCGAGGGTCTCCAAGAAAAGAACTACCATTGGAGGGATAAGAGTCATTGGCTGTAGTAGGATCATTGGTCGTAAGCCTGCACTGAAAATCTGTGGCCCATGGAAGTGCTGATGCGTCACCGTTGATCTTTTCACTTTAGTTATCCGCTGTACTGCTCCTACCACAGCATCACGATGACCCACAAAAAGGAAGGGAAGCTCGCATGGGCCCGCATGGGAACCCCATTGCATGACAAGCAATAAAGGTGGCAAATGGTTGGGACTTAAGTTCTGGCCCAGTAGATCAAACATGTCGAAACCATAAAGCAAAATAAACATCCTCTTCCTAAACCAGCTATCCCATACAAGTGAGATTGATGTCAACCCAACAAGTTCGACAAGGAAAAGTCTACCAACCTGGACAATTTCAAACGCTGGGCCAAGCTCTTCAAATAGACACCATCCCAGCTAATGTGCTCTAGTTGATGTATAAAATTAAAAACCCTTGAACACCCACGGTGAAAGCACCAAGGGCAACGATTGTATAACACTGGTGAGATGAACACCTTGCACCAACGGCAACGATTATGTAACACTGCTGAGATGAACTAGAGGAGGGCTGGGGTTTAAGTCACGTAGCATGTGCACAACTATACACTATATAATCTATAACATAACTATATAATTTTATATAGTTCAAGGCCATATTGTAGCAAGTGTTTGCAGTGTGAGATTGAAGAATCTGATCCAATACCAAAGAAAGCCATCTCCTCAAATAGGGCAGCTAAGGCACATGAACTTTTGTGCCATTTCGGCCTGCGGCAGCACCATTGAAATTACTGAAGCCGCCACCGAAGTCCGCCCTTGGCAAAAAGGACCAGAACGGTGACACCCTGCAAACTGTGAAGCACCACATAGGTTTTCTTACATCATCAGCAACCATGCAGACTAAAGGATCCTTTGTTCAAAACAACACACGAGAATCTAGAAACCCTTTCCAAGGGTTGAATCATTCTTCTCGCGGCGATCAAACGGACAGGGCGGCTGCACCTTATGCATTTGTTTTCATACGCCGTTTCTTGTCTCATACCACGTCCAGTGCAAGTTTCGGCAGTTGCTCATTGTGTAGGTAATGGTCTTGCGGCAGGAGGATCGTTTGCCCAGAAACTTTGTTGCAACCTTGTGCAACCTTGCAGTCATCCACAGACTGGTTGTTGAAGAACCTCCTCTCTGACCATATTACCACGGAACAAACATGCGATCGTGTCAACCCTGAAGGATTCACTGGCCTTAATTTCAGTCGACAAAAAGGACTCAAGCTTCTGCCAAAGTGGCCCAGTGACAGACTGGCGCGCTGTATGCCTTAAACTGGCGTATCAGCGAGGTTCAGGTAAACTGTCACGCAACTGGTGTTTGCTATGGTGAGCAAGTCTCCCTGATCATCCTCCCTCCCTTATTCCACAAGATTTTTCATAAACATCCATAAACATCATCCCAGAATGAGTACCTGACAAGATAGCGACACAACTTCACTCAACACTGAGCGCATCTGCACACCAAAATAACTGTCATAATATAAAGATTCATTGGAAGAATTGCTAGTGTTCCGATAAGAAGGTCCTGTTTGCAACATCCTGCAACCCGTCGAACGATGCTAGGCTCCGAACCCCTTGGGTGGCTCCCACTCGGTGACCTCAGTACCTTAGAGCACGTATCTTCGAATATTAAACCTTCAGTGGAGGCCATCGCAATTAATTAGGTTGGATGCCATCGCAGTAGGTTGAAGGCCATCGCTACTAGGTTGGAGGCCATCGCTCTTAAGAGGCGGTTCGCGTGCGTTGTTCTGCTAAGGGGTACCCGTTCTCCCGCGCAAAGAAAAAATAAAAAGATACAAAAAGAAACGTTCTGATTTGTACCGTGTTCACTGCTTGTATGGTAAAAAACATAGGGCGACCGCCCAGGAAAAATTGTAAATAAAACATTTCGGTTTTATCGTTTTTACCGTGCATGTGGTAGAAAAAAGGGCAACCAACCTTTTCGGGAAAAAACAGTGTTATTTTTGACTTTTACTGTGTTTATCGCGCGGGTGCCGCGAGGGAACCCCGTAGCCCGAGCAACACCACTGGGCCAGCACAGCGCTCTTATGATCCCTCAATGGTCAGCACTTGACACAATATTCAGGCTGGCCTCCTGGAATTGACGTCGCTGCCTCTTACTATATGGTAATCAAGCTCGCTTCTTTTTTTTATGGTTTAGGCTACTACCCGCTTCTACAGGCTTGTTGCCTCAAGGAAGTGACTTTGCTACAACTTGCTCCTTCGATACAATTAAGAACAATGCATTTTAAAGCATTTGACATCTATGCACGACAGCGTGTGTGAGCTGTCAGGCCCGGACCGCCAGGTTGCCTGGTGAAGTGACAAACTCCGATTCGACCAGTGCTCGAACCCACTCCACCCATCCGATTGGCGCGTTGATGCGCGTTGTGTACTGAACTGTGAAGGTCGCACTCCAAAGTGGGGTATTCTGAAGGTCGGTCCCCATTGTTTGGATTTCGCGCTAATGCCTGCCACACGCAACACTACCTTGACTTGCTGGATTTTTTCCGGGCATTTTGCAGCATGATGTGTTTTTGTGCGTGCAGTAACAATAAGGGATATTTGTGAAAGTGTGTTTACGGACTATGTGACACAACCCAAGAGCAGGATGCAATCCAGGATCCCTTTGCATACCCGTCAGCCTTCTACAAAGAAGCCTTTGAGTCTCAAAAAATATATATATAACTATATATATATTGTATACATCTGCAAAAATCTATAGCAAAACGAGACATGCAGCACACTCCAAACATATCAAAAGGACACAAAAGGAAAAAGTGCCTGATAGCGGTAAGGGACGGCCATTGCCAACCTCAGGAAAACAAGACGCTTGAAAATGCTGACAGGAGAGAACTCCAACCTACTAGCGATGGCCTCCAACCTAGTAGCGATGGCCTCCACCCGAGTAAGGTAAGCTGAGTCCTCAAATCTTCAGGAAGTGGATTGAAGGCCAAAAGTCCTCCCCTCAGGCTCGAACTTGGCAAACCATCAATGCCCAAAGGCTTGATGTCCGCCTTAAACATTCACGATGGAAAGGGGCTACAAGGTGTTGTCCAATTGTTTAAACGTCCTCAAGAAAGCTTTGAAGCAAATATCCTTGGCAACAACACCGGCAACTTGGGTTCAGTGAGCCCCCGCTTCACAAGCAGGCACGTTGCTCGATTTGACTCTGACTATCTGACTGTGGGCGTATGCAAAGTGCTGTGCTGTCTTCTGTCCATTCAATAATCAATACACAGCTGTACAGCTCTCTGAGATGCCCTCCAACTTGCCGTTCTCATGTTCGAGCCTGGCACCAAAAGAACATTGCCGTTCTCTGGTACCATTAGCTCAAACCACCGTGCCAAGGCTTTGAAGCTCGCCGTTTACTTGCCTTTAGAATCTACTCCTAAAGGCTTGTGCTGAAGAAATTCTGGTGAGTCCTTCTCGACAAATTCTTGACCAAGTTGCTCATAGATGTGCAATGGCTTAAAGGGTCGCTCCTCTGGCCTGAAAGGGACTTCAAAACAATCAAACTTCAACACTTCTTCGATCTAGCATGACCTAGCAATACCTAGCAATGCTAATTAGCAAATACCAACTGAGTTTTATTGATTTTTGACTATTTTTGAAGATGGACCAACCATGTCGTGATCAATCGTCTTCAAAGCGTTGGGTTCACTGGTTCACTTCACAAATCCGGCCGGGGCACTTCATCAAAGGAGGCTTGCTCACCGAGTCATTGAAGATCATGCGTATTGGATCGTTCCTCAGAACTGCAAGCTGGCGTCTCCGAGGGGCACAGGTTCAATGTTCAAAAGAAGACACATGAATCCAAATCAATAATAAAGCACAAAGCGAAAGGGACAAAGATGAACAAAGAGCAAAGAACTTGTTCAATCTTCGGTTCCTGAGCTTCCAGGCTTGAGGAAAATTCCTTCCTGAAAACAAGCTTTCCATTCATTTACCTCGCTGCAGGAACATCAAAGGAAGTCATTTTCCAAAACTATTGACATGCATTTGCAGCATCTGCAAATGCAATTGCCCACACTACTTGCACATGAGGTGCAGAAACACTTACACAACCACCAAGAAAAATGCCCACAACTGCATCTTCACACGTCTCAAGCGGGCAACAGCTTCTAGATTCTAGAAGACAATCCAGAACTTCCTGAGAACTTCACGTGTTACTTGGAAATGCTACTTTATGCTACTTTCTGTTTCACAAAGGCAATGGGCAATTTCCAAGCCTTGTTGAGGGATGCTTAGAGTCTTGGAGAGATTTTCCTATAGTTTTGTGAAGATCTTGGTGACGTGGTGTGCGCTTCAAGGCCTGAAGGCTTGTAAACTCATACATTCGCGACTGTGCTTCATCAGAAGCACTGACAGCCAAAGTTGGCTAGGGTGCTGTAGAAGAAGGTGCCGTAAGACAGTCAAATTGGTGAGGCAAGGTGGAACAAACAAGGAGAGGAAATAGGAAATTCATCAATGTCATGTTTCCCGATTATACAGTCAAATACAGTCCATCCATTAAAATTTCTACTTACAATTTAGGTCTCGAGTGCGACTTCGGCTGTAGCCTACTATCCGCTCTATCGTCAATCCCAGCCGCCCCCTACCAAGTCACTTCGCTGTCCTTTTTTGCGGTCTTTGCCAAGTCCATCACTTCCTGTCAATTGAGTCAATTTGCGTCACTTTGCTGACACCAACTGACTCTGATCGAGGGACAGTTTGGGGCAATGTAAAGACGACCTCTGCCCCAGTTGTGTGAGTTGTGAAGCTTGAGCATTCAATAATTCATTCAAGCGATTGCTGTCAATTTCTGCAATAAGAAATACAAAAACACTCACACGATATCACTTTGATAAGGCTCGTGAACCACACTGTGGGCCGCCTGACAAACAGCCCTCTGCAAAATAGTATGCGCACACAGCAAGCTTCCCCTACAACCTAGCACGCCTGAGTCTTGGTCCTAACACAATATGCATTCAACAACTACTATGACTCTAAAGGAACAACCACATGTCCTAAACAAAGCGTGGGTTATATCATGCCTGCCAGCAGGCACCGTCATCCCAGCCATCGAAAGTGGCGAAAGCAACTAGCTTGGCCACAGGAACCAATCCGAGTCACCCAGTCATGATCAGCGTCTCCGGGTTTCCACCAAATACAACCAAGCATCTGGGCAGTCGCTGTTGCACATCTTGGACCTCAAAGTTTGGAACCACCCGCAACTCCTTGTTGCTGCTGTGCAAGCTAGGGTGCAATGTGAATATGCCTAGCAAAGAGAAAAAGCAAAACAATATATATATATATTTACAAACAGAAACTCTGAGAAGCTCGACTGTGGTCAACATGCAAGCAAATGTCACTAGATCCAAAATACAAATGTCTACGATATGATGCATGATTAATATCCATGAAAATGACATACCGCCACAGTACAGCGGATAAGCCTTGAGGACTCTGCCCAAGCAACCCATTTCAGCACCACGTGTCAGGATGGTGCGAGGCTTCCAAGAAGTGATCCCCAAAAGCACTGAACCGGTTCTTTCAACAAATGCAAAGAGCAACTGTACGAAGAGATAGAATACTCTTCATGCTCAAGTATAACACAACGCAACAAAAGGGCTGAAGACCACACATGTCTACAGATCGACTGATGAAGTATTTTGCTGCTACCGTGTATCTGAAGAGCCTGAGGACCAGATAGCTGTGATTGAGAGCCCCAACACTAGGATGTCGTTGACGCTCAATGCCCGGCTCTTGTTGACAATGATGCCACCCCTGCAGGAGCAACAATTTGCAGCAAGTCTTTGTAGCAATTTCTATTTAGCTAAACCTAATCTGATGAGGCTCAGGCCACACTAATCTGATGACAGTCTCCCTCTTCCCGTGATCGCCTGAGGAGACTGGAATTGGATCAATCAAATTCAGGCAGGGCACTGTCTGCGTCAAAACACGAAAACTCCGACTTCAGAGTTGCCTTAATACAATCCGATTTCGGAAGCAACCCTGATTACCCTGATGTGGTTTGTTCAGGGCAAGTAGCTATCAAACATCAGTTACATTGCATATACTGTAACATACTGTAACTATATTAACTACTATATTGTACTACAATTGACCTTAACTCTCTCCAAAAAAATCTAAATCGGAAAGCCAGCTTAAGTCTTGACACCTGCATCAAGCTGTTGCAACAGTAACAGAATGACCCTTGCTGTGGCCGCGAGTCCGCAACCCTTTTCTGTTCGAGTCTGCCATTCAACGCCAGGAATGCTCGTTCTTGTGAACTGCAAGCCCAGTATCTGCCATGAACTGCAACTCGGTTCGGAGCCAACATCAACAAGTCTGAAACATCGACAGTATGCAAAGCTAGCCAAACTACGAAAGAAAAGAACATACGATTGTGTTCTTGAAAAAGGACAAACTACATCAGACTACACTCTTAGCAGACATCTCCTGAAGTGATAATCCTGAAATACTAATTATCTCAGTGTTTTGTTTGAATACTTTTGCGAGTCGAAAGGCAAACGCTCTGCCTGCACTTGCACAATATAATGTACACATATAGTTGTATATATATATATATAGGTGAGGCGCAAAGGCAACAAACACTTCCATCGCCTCCCATTCGAGATTGGTGCTTATGTTCAATGGTAGCACATCTTCAGTGAATGCCAAGGCTCTCCAATGAATGCAATGTCAGAAGCATTGTATCGCAACGCCTGCCAGTATGGCAACTTGGGAAGGCAAGAATCTTATAAGCAGCATCTTAGTGTCATAGTATGTCTTAGCGATCAATGACTCTCACTGAGGCAGTCGAAGTCCCTGAAGAGTACTGTGATGCTCATCTTGTCAAAGATTCTAACCAAAAGAATCTCCAGATCACATGCCAGTCAGTCAAGACATACTGTAAATAACATCAAAATACGAATATACCGTATTATGATGATTAATTAATCACCAGGCCGAGGGGCGCTCATCGAAAAGGGAGGTGGCCCTGTGCCTGCCGAAGTCTGGAAGTAAAGTGCGGAACTGCGACAATTTGACCTAGTAGCAAGAACGCTACTAGGGGCTCCTGACCTTACTACTAGGAGCAAGGACGCTTGAAGAACTTCAAAAGCACTGATCAAGATTCAATATACAAACAGAATCGAACACGCACATCGCATGGACAGAAAGGATAAGTTTATATACAGTAGTTTATAAAAAGAATGTCGTTCATTCTTTTGCAACAGCACCGTTCCTTCCAAGACGTTGCAGGAGCTCAGCTTTGTGCAGCCTCGTGCCATCACGGCGTCTTTGCGTGCGGCTTTTCCCGGATGCTACAAAACTCTGAAGTCTACCAACCCCGCTTCGCGAAGCCTACCAGGTCCTACAGTACAGTACCATGTGCATTACTTTTTGATAGAGTCATGAGACAAAGAGCAAGACCTCATGAGACTTTGTCACTTGGGCAGGCTCGCATCGCATCCACGGCGTACCAAGCAACGTTCGATGATCACCTTCACAGCGAAATCCAGAAACCAGGAGCCTCGAGCGCAACATGATGATCCCAACGCAACCCTGAATGAAACTGCATTTTCATCCGATTCACCCTAGAGAGTTCAATTTCTGGTTGACTGGTCGTTGACTCGTCCTCAGAATGAACTGTGTGACTTGTGTGGACCTCCCAAGCTATACAGGATTCGTCACACAGCCTTTGTCGCCGCTGAAAATGTGATTCCCGATGTTGGCACCACAAACCTGTGTCGCCGAGAGCTAGGAAGAATTGAGAAGTGTCCAAAGGCCAGCTGGACTTGCATACACAAACCCAGACGATTCCTGCAGTTGACAAACACTTGCAAACTTGAAAGACACCTGAGGGCAACAACACCTCCTCAAATTTCTTTGGTGGGACTTGGAAAAGGACAAGACAATATCTTTTTGGGCAAGAAGAGTACAGGGGCAGCTGCGCAGCTGAGTATCAGTATCTCCATGCCTTGTGGGTTACAAAAGGCCATCGCCACAATTCGCCCCCAACTTCATCAAAGCCACCTGAAGGGCAAAACTTGTTGCTTGAATGAAAGGTATGGAGGTCATGCTACTTGGGCACAAACTGCTCAGCTAGCCAGCAAGCTAGCTGTCGCGACATATGGACATATCAGCGTGTTGACATCAATCTATCATTGAAACGTACTTTGCACCACATTGCATTCCATGGGTATTCTCTAATTTAGCAATCATCAGGTCTTAGTAGAACTTGGTAAATCATTCATTATGTGTTTTATTGTTTCAAGTTTAGCCGGGTTGCGAGAAGAGACATGGTCCATGTCAATGTAAATCCCACCATACTTCAAAGGAGCCTGGACACAAAGCCAGAGTCCACGGTGATTGCATAGCTCATTTTTTGGTTGAACACTTGGGGGGGAACGTATTGAAAAGTACACACATCTATCATAAAACCGTATTAAATCTAAAACTGTGCGAGCAAATTGGGAAGCACACATCTTAATCTCATCAAATTCTTATGTACTAAGAGGTCCCGTTGGGCTACCAAGCAAAGTACCATACCCAGGTCAGTCCCCGCGATCAATGAGGCAACAAAACAAAACAGTGCATACTTGAGGACATTGCAATGCATTTGTTTGTCCCACAACCTGTGTCACTAGATGTCACCAGTACTTCAAGTGGATTGAAACGGCATGTGTACGGCAACCTTTTAGCAAACTCCTCATGTAGTTCAGGCAAATCAAATATGTGTGCTGTGTGTTGCTCAGAGCAACACACAGCACACATATTAACTTCCAAGCCCTGTACTTAAATGGCAAGTTTATGGTATACTGTTCTGCCGGAATACACAAGCAAGGTGGCTGCTCCCTTCTGACTGGCCATTCACACTTGCAATATGGCGTCCACATCTGCTTTCTCTGGGTCAACATTGATTTACTCCAACATCCAATCACCGACCAAATCCCACCTCCAATCTGAAGAAGTGAGACTTTACGGCACAAATGCCTCCACGACTTGCAGACTCGATATGCTCAGTAATTATACCAAGGTGGTCAACATTGAACTTTAATCTTAGTTGAAAAGCTCATGGTGTCGGCATGCTCCGGAGAAAAGGCAGCCATTGAAAAGTGTGTCCGAATCAGTTTTCGATCATCTTGGTGCGCTTGCTCTGGTCTGGCATGTGCAACTTTATTGGTGAATTTCAGGTTGTGGTTGGGCTGGGGCTGCAGCTCACTAACTTGGTGTTCCATCCACTTGGTACAGGTTGCAAAAAGGGCGAACCAATTCCAGTTAATTACATCTAGTGACAAATGGAAGTGGTACGATTTGCTGAGATGCAGAGTTCCTTAACTTCTGCTGACTGCCAGATCAAATGTTCGCAGGTCAGCAACCACCCAAACATTGACAGGGCTTGACCTGTTTATATAGCTAGAATCTAGAAGCAAGTCTATTACTTGATCAATCAAATTGCCAAACGAACGCAGCAACTGGCTGCAACAAATTGTTGGGAAAAGGAACAACTAACTTGCAAGGTGCTTTGATCGCATGCACTTCTTGGCTGTGTCGAACAGCTGTGATGTCAAACCAGCACTTGCAGCAAAAACATGCAACAAGCTTCCTGTGTTTGCAGCTTCGTCTTAAGAGTGGCCTACCTGGATTCTTGTTGTCATTGTGAAACTTGTCCAGGTACTGGATCATTTCCCATGACTGAAAACTTTGTGCCTGAAGCTCGGGTTGCTTCTGCATGAGGCCCAAGCAAGAGTTTTGACAAATTCATAAACAGTGCTAGAAGCAACTAGCTGAGAGCTGCTGAGCAACTTCCACGGAAACACACTTTCAACTTAACTGCTGCAACATTGAGCAACACTGCAGAATATAACAGCATGTCTCATTGCATCAAATTACAGGAAAACTCGAGAAACATTTGACATTGTAATGCACGAAACAGCACGCTAGTGCTGCGCCAGCCTCAGAGTAAGCATCCTGAACAGGCGATGCTGTGAACGGCCAGCTCATATCTGGAGATTTGTCTTGGAGGAGATGAGATTGATGTGCTGCAACAGTACCAGTAGTTATGGCTCTAGAGAGGAAATCAACTTGTGCAATGTGAACTGTGTTTGTCGATAGATGATGCAACCATTCAATGCGATAGTTGAAAGCTCCAGTAGGCGAGCCCTTTCAAAGGGTGTACCAAGGGTCAGAAGAAGGGTGAAAACAAGAAGGCAAACGGATTGAATGCGCACATTCTTTCCTGCGCTCCCAACACCCTCTGAAATGAGCAATCAAAGTGCACTGCAAAGCTTGCAAAGGCCCACCCCGTCAGCTTCGACGATATTCCGCCTTCCTTCTCATGAACTGAGGACGATCTAAAGTAATGAGCTGTCCGCTATATTCTTCAAGCTGCTAAAATGAACATATGTGGGTGTAAATGAGTTGGAAAGAAACAACTTCTAGATCACGTACGGTCGTGCCTCTTTGCTTCAGGTCATCATCATTTAAGAGTGGCCCTGAATTTTACCTCTGCTGAAGTCCAACAGGCTACAATGTTGGCCAGACGAACACCACAATATATCTCACCTGAAGAAACGTTGTTCATTTCATTCCCCAAATCTGTCTGGCTCCAGCTGATTCCAAGCCGACTAATTGGGATAAGCTTGGGAGTCGGTGCTCAAGAGTTGATCACTTGAGAGCTTGGTCTTTGGTGTTGCTTTGACTCGACAGTCATTTAGTGAGCTAAAAGAACCAAAGGCGTTTTGCATAGACCTTGGAATGAAGGAACAACCTTCATACGATTTAGATTCTTGGATCTTTGTCCAGATTCCTTGAGAGCAACTTGACAACCCAGGACTTGTCCAACTGTAAAGAACACTCTATGACACGCCAGGCACGCCTTCACCTCGATAGGTAGTGTGTTCCTGGCGGTCTCCAGGATGCTGCGAGCACTCGCAGGAATCTCCTCACCAACTCGTGCCAACTAAAGTTGCAGGCCCATGAAACGCGGGATCACTCAAATTGTTAATGCGCATCAAACCACCTTCACTGACTTGTTCATCTTATATCATCTTATGAGAGTCCTAGCAATTGACCAAGGAGGTACGAGGAAACTGCAAAGCCACCACATTGGCCGCGTCCGTTCTGACCAATCAGAGCTAAGATGTGGCACGTCTGCTCCACCCCTCCAAGCTAAGTCTCCGTCCGAATCAGTCCAATAGAAAATCTGGAAATCTGGGTTGTTCTTGGCCTGATTTCTTGGCTAGAGACACTTGAACTATTCCGAGCGGCGCGAGACGAGGCAAGGGAACAAGGCACAGCAAGAACACAGAATGCGGATCCAATCGCAGACTCAATTCTCACAAAAAATACTCAAAATAAGGATGAAATAAGGATGGAACATGTCATATCAAAATTAATATGTGAGGTGAGCACAGTCGGAGCACTTTGTCTCAAGCTGCAGGAGAGTCACAAATCCCCGAACATGATCTGCCCTCCCGTCGGTCAGCGGCGAGCAAAGCCAAATGAAGTGCAGAATCTTTGGTACCTGAAGCAAAGCATAATATTCACTGCTCTTATCGGATAAGACTTGTACCCACAAACAGGCTGAACGAATCAATGACAAATGAACGGCTTTGCCCCGACGAGCAGCAGCATTTGGATGGAAACCAGTAGCCCGTACAGAACAAGTACAAATGCTAGGAAGTCAAGAAATGATGTCGTTAGTGCGCTTTCACAGAAGAGACATCAGTTCCAATAATGTCTCCAAAGATCCAAACACCATCCCTGTTGATGCCACCTGCACATCATTGCACCATGCGCCCAACTGAGCTACACTAAGTCTTCACCGAAGCCAAAGTCACTGGGTGAGAGCATCGCTTGGGCACCGCAAAATCACCTGCGCTCTGCCCCAGAGTCCACAAATCACTTTTCTGTTGAGGTGTGTTGAGGTACAGTACTCTATGGACACAAAAGGGCCACATTCCTCTAACCCATCTGATGATTTGCAACAAACACTGCTCTTATGTACTGGTCTTGCTATGCTTTGACAGTCAGGTGTCCATCTGATCTGACAGTTGGCGTGCCTTGTGGATTTAGCATCCCATTCCTCTGCATTGAGGCTTGTCAAACATCGAGTATGTCTCCCTACAATCTTCATAATTGTTCCACTCGAGTGTCCCAAACAAAAATGAATAAGCTGCGCTTCAGCACCTGACATTCACATCAGTCAGGCGGTGTATGGTAGGTGAAGAACGCACGGCAACTGGAGAGTTCTCAATAGCAGAATCTGTGCATTTTTTCAGACTTTCCAGATTCAATGGGTACTAGGTTGGAGGCCACCGCCAGGTTACCTTTAAAGAAACACCCGAATGACCTAAACGGCCCAAACCTGGTGTGGCCCACTCCCTTCCATCCTTGGATGACCAACCAGCTTCGCACGTGTCAGCAACGTCTCGGTGGATTCCTGGAGGCCCGTCGTTGGTCAAATCTGAAACTTCGTTGGAGTCTACAGCAATGTATACTATATGTAATATAATATAACATAATACAATACAATATACTTATAAACATATACTGTATATATATATATACAATTGCAGTAATCTTCATATTGTGTATGTACAATATATTATCCAACAAGTCTCTCTGACAATCTTCTCGTGCGGCCCCAAAAGTCCAATCAACTCCACATCAAGCCTTTCCAATTCTGGCTCTTGAGCTCCCCAGCGAGGATTGGACGCCCAATCAAATCACTCTTCCACTGCTTGGCTGGACACTTTGCAGTCGTCCGATAGCCTGGGCAACTGAGGAAACGAGAGCGCTCCTCAAATATGTTGTTCTTTTTTCTTCTTTTTTTAAAAAGGGCTTTTTTTGCCGCATCGTCGTCTTTGGGATTGCTGATCTATCTGATCATCTGATCTTCATCCCTCAGCCCCCGGCTTGACTGCTTTCGGTTTTGGTTCAGAAAGGACACCTGTAACAAGTTCAAGCTGGAAAGGCCAGGAAGCCCAGCTTTCAGGTTCAAGGAGGCCTTCCTACTTAAGTAGGCGCCTACTTAATTAAGGGAGCAAGCTGCTAGGCAGAGTTAGCTTCTAGCTACGACACAGGATAGCCCGACTTTTAGGGACACTTAGCTTCCAATGTGAGGATCAGCTTGAAACCCGCCTCCATCCAGACTCCATCAGGGCCATACACCTGCCCATCGGCACTTCCGGATTGGGTCATACACTTACGTGAATTTGTGGAGTCTCAGGCCCTGTCCACTGGTTCTGGTAAAGGACGATGGTCAAGAAGGCAGGCCTGGACTTGCTTGGCTCTTGGGGATTAAGTGGTCAAAGAGAGCTCTAAAATCTCGGTATCTTGGTATGTTGCCTGACTTTGTAATCTAATTGCACTTACTATATTGTAATTGATGCTCAACCCCTGTTCTTTGCTGGGTCATTGCGTTTGGATTGTAGTCCCACTGCAGTTGTGGGTAGTGACAGGTAGCGAAGGGTAGTGAATGTGTAAGGTTTGGTGTTGTGTCAGTGAGTGTTGCTCCTCAGACCGTTAGGAGAAAACATGAACAGCAAGCAGCACAATTTGCACGTCAACATAATTCAAATACGTTGCAGTCGAACATCAACATGATGCATTTAGAAGCATTCATATGCATGTCTGTCTGCAGAAGTAGCGTTCCCCGACATCAATGCACTGCATACTGTAATTACGGACATGTAATTTCTTTTCAACCCTGCCAGCAACACAAACATGTGAATAGGAATAAGGCCGCTATTCAATGCTGATGCACCTCAACTGCCACTGTGCATGCTCTTGGTGGTTGCATCTTGCAGCCACCAAGACATTCTTGGCAGCACACCGATCAACCACATGAATGAGCCAAACCAATCAGTAAGTATCAGTATCAGTGGGAGTTATAGAGCTGTGCTGGTTTGTCAACGCTGCTTTCCCCGATAGCCTCCTCCGGGAGAAGTGCCTGAGCGTCGAGTTGGTCTTTTTCAGGTTATTTTGTTGATATCTCGACGGTCTCTACGTGAAAAAATAAGGTCTTCGTCCAAAAACAAGTTGCTGGCACTGGCTTTGGCTGCAGCGGCCGCATCGGCACAGGGACTGGCACAGGCACCGGCACCCGCACCGGCACCGACGCAGGTGCGGGTGCTGGCGCTGGTGCTGGTATCAGTGAAGGAGGCCGGGCGGCTGGTGAAGGACCAGTTTGCGGCACCTATCTGACAACAGGCTCATGGCGCCGCGTGACAGAGAAGAACATTTGAAAGGTGAGGTAAACGTCTCACTTCTCTGGGAAAAGGAACTCCTCAGTTCTCTGGGCACAGAACCGTGGCCAACCACTGCTTGTTTTGTGGAGGCAAATGAAAATTCAACTTCCTTGCTCGCTTCACTGTGGTCAAAAAACAAGAGACTGGCCTCAGTGGCGTGGGATGTGTCACCAGGAGCGTCCTTCGGTGGGATCGGTGGAAAGGGCGCTAGTTTCTTTCGTGACATGTCAAGAGTTTGTGTCACTATGGCTTTCTTTTAAGAAAACCGTTCAGGCCGGTGTCAATAATTTTTGCGGAAACCATCAAAAGTGATAAAACGCAAAAAAAACACAACTTTCTGGCGTTTCATAGATCACCAAAAAGTGATAAAAACACAAAAAAAAATGTGTTTTTGGTCATTTTCCAAGTTTTTCCGGAAAGTTGATGAAAAGTGAGTTTTCTCAGTTTTTGTCATTTTTTGATTTTTGCGGAAAGTTGATAAAATGTGCGTTTTTCTCGTTTTTTTGACCTTTTCGTAGACCCAAATGTTGTTTGAGTGTTGTTTTTGTTTTTTCACCAAGAAATTGAAAAGAGGGTCCGGATAGGGTTCGGCTTGCCCCCCTCCAAACAACAATTCAACATGCACACCCAGAAAAAGTGCGCGCAAACTCTTCAGAACCAAGGTTGCCTCCTCATCAAACCCACCTCAGTCACTTCTTTCGTTTGTTCCTAGTAGAGATTTTGCAGGGGAACCGGGATATGCAACACATCAGAGTGGGACCCAGGGAAAGGCCATCGACCAAGCCCACCAACCAGTCGATCAGCTGGGACGGCGGCAAGAATCAGAAGAGGAGTCTAAACCCCCGCCTGTGTCATCACTCATGACTCATTACATTTAAATTGCAATAAAAAAATATTGAAATTGAAACCACACCCCTGACAAAAACTCACCCGGAATTCACAACCTCTTCCACCCCAACTTCCCAACCATCCATGAGTCTTTTTTTGCACCCGGGAATCGACGATTGCAATCGTGCCGGCGACGGCTGCTCACTCGGAGGACGAAAAATATGCATCAATTTTTTTTCTGTACTTTGCGCCCAACTGCTCTGTGGCTCGTTGCTGGCCGCTTCATTCCCATCTTGGCTTCGCCCTTGGCAAGCAGCCCATCAAATTCATGTGCAGGATCATTGGTGACCCTCGGGTGGCCGATCCACACAATGCTTGGCACTGTGAGCTTCAGTGCAGGAAGTGGCAGCGGCACGCTCGTTTGCTTCTTCAGGCCCTTCAGGCTTCCGCTGGCCAAGAGCACTGCAATGAATGCGGCTGCTGTTGGAACAGAAATGGTATTGCCAGCGATAGCGTTCAGTTCAGAATCCTGAGCTGAAATTTGCCAGCCCAATCACACAACAGAGACTTAGAGAAAATGTAAATTACGGTAAACTGTTGTCTGTGAAACTGACAACCGGCAACTACCAACTGTCAACCTGCACTTGCACCTAACATTTGGCAGCCGACAGGATTGAGACTGGGATTGCAAAAAAAAGTGTGGAAACTCAGGAAGAGCAACTGGAACATATACCTGGTCGCCCTTCACCACCCCCTCCTGAGCTAGCCCTGCAGCATCAAACCCATGCCCCGAAAGAAGTTCTCGTCCTAAAATCGGCCTGGCTTGGCCAACGTGCCACAACCTGTGCTTTCGCAAGAGGCAAGGGAGCGTCCCGGAATAAGCGTTGCTTTTCCAACAGGCATATTTCACGCCATTGGTGAGGTCCCACACAAGTCCTGGAGGATCCCCATCATGAGTGGCACCGGCCGCAGGGCTAGTTGCTCTCTCAAGCCTCAATGAACTCAAAAGTAATGGAAAATGGACGATGATTTGGGACAAGGGCCAAGGGTGAGTTGGCGACAAACAATTTGATTGGTTGTAAAACTGTTTGGCTGTCACCCAGTCAAGAGACACCCACAAATGTAAGTACAGGAGATCTTGCTCCCTCGCAGGCAAGCACTTGCTCCACTCATTCCCGTACATCTCCAGGAGCTGCTTCGGAGGTGGCACCTACTGCAGGCCAACCGGCCAAACAAAGAAAATTTATCATTTACCTCGCCGGTGGATATAATATTATTTGATTTGATCCGTTTTTGTCTTCCCGGCCGGACCTACTAATTGTAAAATGGCTGGGTTAGTGGTTGGCCTCTTCCTATGGGGATGGGGGCCACGGGGGGGGGGCGGGGGGCAAGAGGCCCATAGAGCTGTGCCCAACGAAGCCTGATCAGCTGCACATACCTTCTGTGTTAAAAGTTAATTTCCTGGTGGTCCCTGGTCTAACTAAAGCAATTTTGTGGTGTAAAGAACAATTGGCCAGCCTTTGCATGGGATTGAATTCCGCAGTCATTCACTATTCATTATTCGTTGTATCTCGTTCAATTTAAACTGTTAACCGTAACCTTCGTTGGAATGGGGCCCGGCCTTTGTTTTACCTAGGGCGTGCTAGGGCAATCTTGTTCACCTAGGTTGCCGCGCGGCATGTGGCATTCAGACCAAACAAACTATACTAGAATCGGCCAGCCTTTGCATCGGTTCGAATTCTGCAGTCACGCACATTCGTTTTTCTTGTTCAATTTGATAATTTGACCTTCGTTGGAATTGGGCGGCCTTTGTTTTACCTAGGGCATGCTAGGGCTAGGGCCATCCTTTTCACCTAGGTTGCCGTGCAGCGTGTGGCATTCAGACCTAACCTAACCAAACTGACCTAACCAAACAAACCATATCCCGAGCGTGTTTGTGTGTGTTGCGCTGAACTGCTGAACGAACAAACCGCCGTTGAGTGGAGTCAACAGACCTGAAAGTGGCCGCGCGCGCATGTCCAGCCTCCTCCCCCAACCTTGCAGAAACAGCCTGCTTTGCTGCCTGGTGCTCTTGGAAGCACTTGGGCCAACTCTGACCATTTTCCATGCTCTCCAGGATTTTGGCATCTGAGAGCCGTCGATGTTTAAGCTTGTTGAAGAATTCCCTCACCCTGGAATCTGAATTTGGGAGCATGAGCCCTTGACCCTGACTGGACTCAAATATCATAATCCCGAGTCGAGTCGAGTCTAAGTCTAAGTTCAGAGTCCGAAGCCTAAAGTCCAAATTCAGGTCACTGTTGCAAACCAAGAGTCTTGTGAAATCTCCTTTCAATGACAAACGCGAAATCTCCTTGCAAAAGGGATTCCAACAACTTGGACTTGGAGTGACTGACTGCTGACTGCTGACGTACTTGCTTACTGCCCGCCCTCTCCCCTCCTTCAACCAGGAGGCCCATTGGTCAGCGATAGTCTCTTGGGCGCTGATGCTCTCAGCCAGATCAACTTGCACCGGGTCCAAGGCTATGATAAACAAACGGGTACGACTTTGAGGAACCCCCCAGCTTGCTGAATTCGTGAAGAATGCTTGCGCCAAATACGAAAGCTTCTGTAAAGAGCTGACCACAACCTCTGCTGTGAGCTTTTTGGCGATGTTCTCCAGCAATACATAGGCCTTTTGTGACACAGGTTTGTGACACAGGTTTGTTCCACAGGAAGGACGGACTGAGACCTCGACAGGACGTTTGGTCTCAATGTACCGGAGTGAAGCTGCCAAAGTACGGGATGACATACCAGACCTCCACCGAAATCTTTAACAAAACAAAACAAAACAACAAAAACAAAACACTGTAGTTAAACAGCAGTGGGCACAGTCAAGGTCTGATTTGATGATCTGGGCCGCGCACTTCTCTGTGATGGTGAGGCACAATTCTTTGCGGGAATTGTTCATGCCAGATAAATCCTGGAGCAAGCAAAATCAAAGCCCTGGACTTGAGACTAATACTATTACTTGCAGCACTCCTGGCACTCGAAGCCGCCCGTATACAGGTGCACAACAGGGACTTTGACCTTTTGGCCTGACAGCCAATCAAGCCCTTCTGAAGCATCTCTGGCCTCAACAAGGACATAAGAACACAGAAGGCTGCGGCTGGAGGGAGTCGCAATGATCAATGAACCATGCCGCCATACAGTAACTGGGGCACAAACCAAAACGTCATCGTAGATGACTTGCGGCGGCGGCTTGCAATTTAGCATCATCATGTTCTTCTGGTGCTCCATTGTGACCTTGTGTCACTTACCACTTGACGAACTGACAGCTATCCAAAGCGCCACTCTGCAAACACCCAACCCCCCGCCTCCTTGAGCTCTCCCAAGATGGCGCCCAGTCCAAATGACGGAGAATCTATGCCGGAGCAATCCGAGCCATACAACAACTTAGACCCGCGTGGAAAATTCGTCCGCAATTCCTTCCCCAAGACGGTGAAAATATTTGCCACCCAATCTGATGGAGACGGCGTAGCTTCATCAACCTGCAACGACTCTCACACCAAACAGCAGCCAGCAAAGCAGTAGCCATCAGCGCGTTAACACTCACAGGCTCGCAGAGAAAATCTGGAATCTGGAATATTGAATTCTGAACTCTGAATGCAAAGTATCCTATGTACTGAGGCCTGAGCAGGAGGTGGTTTTGGCTCTTCGGGCCCTAACGAGGCAGCAGATGTCTTTGTTGTCAACCGCCTCCTCACAGGTTTTGGCGGACCTGGCAAGTGGGCAAACGGAGCCTCAATCTGCTCTCCGTTTGTCAGTTGGGAGTTGGGATGGTTGGGTTTTGGTGATCGGTAATGTAATGTCTGACTGACAATATCAGTATCAGTATCAGTATGACTCACTCTGTTTGAGTGAGGCAAAAGTGGAGTCTGGTCACCCAGAGTCAGAGGCAGAGGCAACTGCTGAGTCCCGGGCATATGTCCGCCTCCATCGCCTCTTTAATCGGGTCGTTCAAGGCAGACGCCCCTGACATTTGCCTGGCCTCAGACATGTGAGATTGGTTGCGGACTTGTAGAGCCACAGTTTGGAAACTCAACTCAGACATTGGCAAAAGCACATTGGCGGACATCCTCACGGATAGCATCTTCCAGTGCCATTGATGTCAGCTCTAGCTGCTGCAGCCCCAGGTCAGAATCAGATGGCCCAGGCCCAGGCCACGACTCTGAACGGCCAAAGTTTGCCGCATTCAAGCCATCTTGTGGCTGATGCTGGAGGTGTTTCTCTGAAGCCACACACCCCACTGCCGCTGACCCCACCGCCACACTATCGAAAAGGAAGTCAAGTGGGTCACGGTCACGGTCAATCCCAGGCTCAGTCTGAGTCTCAGCAGGTGGCCCGGGCCCAGGCAAGTCTCGGGCTGTGACTATTGTTTGTAGAGGCTGCGTTGCCTGAGAA